ATTTGCAATTCTGATTTGACAAATCTTTGCTGTAAATCATACTGTTATAAAAGTTGCATAATTTTTAAAAACTGTTTCTAGGCAGAAAGAAAGCTTCCATTCAACTATTTAGCACTGAGATATTGGATACAGTGAAGATGTTCCCTTTTTTTTAAATCTTTCCTCGTGTACATTTTTTGTACATAGCATGTTTCCATTGATACAGAAACGTGTAGGCATGGAGCTGTACCACCTTCTTTTCCAGAAACAATAAGTCATACAAGAGAAAATATTTTCCCTGTTTTTTCAGCATCCTAAGTATATCCAAGTGGCTTGACTACCTGAAGGTGCAAGTTACAAAGAATAATTACTGGATAAAATGAACACTGTGAATGCAGTATCAGAGAGCATATCAAAGGGCCCTCAACATTTTTTATCTCCATTTTCCAGATACAAATTATTTTCCTCATTTTCAACACTGAATGCTGGCTTCTGTGAAAAGCAGGAGCAGTTTAAAATTTGCTTTCTTTATATATTTTGTTTTTAATAAAGAAGCCAGTATCCAGGTTACAAATCATAAGACAGTCTAAAACAGCAATGTTAAACAACATCTGCATGATAACTTTTTTGTTTAAAACTTCCAGAGAGAACTCTGTAGCTGGCAGAAATCGCCAATCCCAAAATCCAGCAGACAGTTTTCAAATGTAGCATTTACCTCACTTGTTCTTCTACATTCCCTTAAAATATATATATATATATAATGACAAGAGCTGGCATATGTGTCTTATATTTACTAGGTTAAAGTTGTACTTCCTAAATAATATCCTAGAGCAGAAAAATTGGTTCTACCACTGTTCAGTTGTGGAACAAGATAGAGATAAATTTCTGTTAAAATGGAATTAGCTATACCACAGGAATATAAGGCATAAAATACAGCCCAGAAGCATTATGCTAAAATAACTGCAAACAAAGCAGATTCTTTTTTCAAGTTTTTTTTAATGCAAGGCCAGAATATTACAAACCAAACTAAGAAAAAAAATTCTGTAGTAAACAGCAATCAAAATGGATTATTTATAACACAGCAAGGTTATCTAAGGCTAAAGAACAGTATCTATTCTTCCTGGCACTTTTATATAAAAATGATATATATTTGCAGTACATTTAAAAGAGACTGTCCAAAAATGGAAATGGAGAATTGAAATGCACCACCTGGTCCAGAAGGATGGAACGGTGTTTATCCCTGGGATATTTTAATAGCTTTTTTCATCCTTTACACATCCTCCTATATTGTAAAGCCATGACTAAGGTCCATAATTTATTGCCAGGCCTCCTAGAATGATGCATCTCACATACAGTGTTCCCAACCATCCTCAGAGAAGAGGAAAAAAAAAAAAAAAAGGTCAATTCAAAACTTGGGCTTTCCCTACTTGGTAGTAATATTAGAGTCTTGATATCTTCTACAGTGATATTCTGGAATATGTAAAGATCAGTTGTACAGGGGAAGGCAGGAAAGTAGCAGGATCCATACTTTGATGTTATCTTCTCAGAAATAGGTCATAATAAAGCTATAAAAGTACATCTAGTATTATGAAAGGGCTGAATCAGTTGCGAATATGGCCCACTATTATAGGATTATCACTTAGATCAGTGGTACCCAACCTTCTGGCCCCACAGGCTTGACAAATAGCACAGGGTCTGTCTGCTGGTTGGATCCCACATGCGGTTGGCATGCGAGCCCAAAACTGCTGTGTACTAGCCCAATCCAGCACACCCGAATCCAGCCACACACTGGCACAATCTGGCACTCGGAGCCATGTTATCTGACCAGTGGGACTCCCACTGGTGTTAGGAAATTTGGCAGCAAGTGAGTGGCAATTGACGCTGCTGTTGCTTCCCTGCCACCGCATTTCCGGACCCTTGGGGAGCCCCACAGGCCAGACCTGGCCCTGAGGGCAGGGGGTGAGCACCCCCGACTTAGATCATGAATAACACTGTGTTGGAACAAACTTGTAGCAGAAATTTTAGTGATTATATAAAATCATGTCACTTATAAGCTCTGTACTGCTGTTACCAGTTATTACATTGTTACAATTACAAGTGTGGCATTTACACAAGTCTGTGATAAAGAATTTGCTTAGTTTAACTGAAGGTTTTAAAATACTACAGAACTCCTTTGGCGGTTCTTCCATCTGCTGATGAAACAGCACTTGTGAAAAAGTTACAAACACCCTTCTTATAAGGCACATCTAAGTTAATCACCTGGAGGAATACACACTGACCCTGATTAGCACATGTAAACTCAGCTGGTATCAGAAGGAGACATGCCTAAGGATAAAGGGCAGTACTTAGCTTATTAATGTCCAACCTCTCACTACAAATCCTCTATCCTACCACTTCCTAATTTAAAGTACTATAAATGGCCCATACAGAAGGCCAAAACAAAACATCACTACTCTTAGTATCACTGTGCCCCTTGTTAAAGGCCATTGGTTCTAAAGGACAATCTGTTTAGGAAGCCTATTATCTTATTTAACAATTGCCAGTGACGATTTGGGACCCCAGGAGAAGACAAAGAGCAATGGCCATAAACTATTAGAGGATGGTTTCAGGTTAGATGCAAGGAAGAACTTTATGGTAAGGGTGACCAGAATCTGGAACAGACTTCCTAAGGAGGTGGCACAGTCCCCAGCCTTGGAAGTCCTCAAGAGGAGACTGGACAGACACCTTGCTGGGATCATTTGATCTCAGCAGTATTCCTGCCCAAAACAAGTGGTTGAATTCTATGATCTTTCAAGGTCCCTTCCAGCCCTTAATTTCTATGATTCTAGTATTTCTATTTGTAGACGATGACCTGCTGCAAAACATTTTCCAAGATATGACCAAAGCTACTTTCTCACTGCAGAACCCAGTTAGCTTGCACTTTTTCTTCTTTTAGACCATACTATTACTTTGAGACTCGTGATGGGAGCTCTCAGCTATCTCATCTGCTGAACACTGCACAGCTCCATGAGATTGTCTTCAAGTGGTTTAAACCTTTGTTTCTGATTGTACTCTTAGCTCTTTTGGGGTAGGTCTTTCTGTAGATGGGTTGCATAGCTTAGTCACGTGATCCCATCCTAGGATTCATTCTATTAAATGTTTTTGTACCTCCACAGTGTGATATTTAGTTTTCTTATAATTAGAATCAAAATCTGTTTCTTTTCAGATACCTGACACATCAGGGACTATAATCTACTGTATCTTGCCAGTCAACAAGTCACAGTTAAATCAAATAATAATGTAAAAAAGAGTAATAAACCAAAAGCACTTCTCTTTAACCCTCTGTCATTATAGATTTTGTGATCTTAACCAATTAGGTGCCCAGTTTTGAAAATCTTGGTCTAAGCACCTAACTCCATATTTATTATTATTTATTTCTCACCTGACTCCATATTTATTATTGTTGTTGTTTAGACTTGTATCCTGTACTATCCAAAAGGTTTAGACATCTGAAGAAGGGGCCTAGCTATAACTGATTTCAACTGGAGTTTCAGGTGCTCAGCAACTCTCAAAAATCAAGCCATTTAAACAGAAACATTAATAACAGGGTTAATGTGGAAGTACATAGGATAGCCACAGGCCCCGTTCAGTTTAGAAGAGGGAGCAGATTGCTTTAATGTTTCCTTTCCAAGGACACATATGCAGTACCTTTCACAGGCAGCTAAAGGGCCAACCACAAGCTTATGTGCCCGTCTGGCTTTTATGTCCCAAGGTTTGCTCTGAGTACCTTGGAACATGATCCAGCATGTACAAGATTTCAGTGAACTATCAGGTATCCTGCTGTTAATCAAAGCTAACTCTACTATAGCCACTTCACTAAAGGTGAAATTATACCCGTGTAAAACCAGCAAAGATGAATTGGCACAAGCACCAGCTGTGACAACAGTTAAGTCCTTTATAGTTAAGCTGAGTTGAACTAGTATTGTTTATAAAGCCTGAAGCAAGACTTCAAACTGTACTGAAATGGGTGTCGGGGGTGGGAAAGATGTGTAAGAATTTTGCACAAGGCCCTCCGGAAGCAGCCATGGAGTTAATTAGTGTCATTCAGTATTTTAAAAGGGTAAAATTTCATGACTAATAATATATGCAAACATGGATTTTGTTATAGTTCTCTCAGGTTTTGGGGCAGAAGCTGATTGTCACAGGAAAAAACTTCTCCCTGCATCCATTTATATTCCATAACTGAGGAAGTGTGTTTTGGGAAATTTCTACTTTCCTCTGAAGCATCAGGTATTGGACTGAAGCCAGATATTGGACTTGGAGAATTAATGGTCAGAGCTATTAGGGCAAATCCGATGTTCCTATGGGAAAGTGCAAGGCCCCAAGCAGTCACTTGTGTTGCTTGTATTTAAGGCTGGCCCTAAAAATGAGGTTCAGGAGAGAAAAAAGAAAATCAGTTTTTTTGGAAACATAAATGTTGATGTTAACATGAACCTTTACAAGTGGATAAGAAATCTTAAAAATGGCAAAAAAAAGAAACATTACATTTCTGAAACCAAAATAATCAGTTAATAGATAGTGTACTGGTTTGTCAAGTTTTCATAATAGTGTTCAAATGGATGCTCTAATAGTCTTGTTCTGTGAGCATTGGAAGAGATATTAGAAGAGTATTTCACACTTCAAAATATTCAATGACTCGCTTCATAAATATTGACAAAGTCCAAATCACAAGCATTTGTGAGATTCTTTTCTTCAGTAACAGAATGTTTCTAACAAGTGCAGTGACTTCCAGGCAGAAAGCAGCATATCACTTCATGTAACACATTAACTCTGCTTTGATACTGGTAGTTTATACCTGTTGTGTGCGACTGTTGTATCTTATTTAGAAAAAACTCAAGCTACTATCATTAGATACATCAATGACTTAAAATGATGCTACCCAATTAATGTGAGATATGTAAATAAGCACCATTTAATGATACTGTTTTCAAGTACCAGCTAATCTCAATGTGCTGTCATGTTCATGACTTAACTGATGTTTCGTGACCTACCAAGATAAATTTGGATACATGAGGTAAAAACAGTGTCAGAACCTACATACTTGTTTTTTGTATTTCATCACGGGTTCCTCGGAGCTGTTTAATATCTTATCCACAGATCCTAAGCGTGCATTTTTTCTTTTATCAAATTGATTGAATGAGTTTGTCTAGTGATAAATAAACCTCCTAAAGTTATAAAAACACACTAAAGCAAAAACAACATTTAACCCTCCACTTGGAGTGACAAACTGCCTTTCACAGTATTGAGAGATACGAGGTACTCTTGGAAGAGAAGGTGGCACCACTGAAGTTGGCTGATCCAGATGTACAGAACCACAGAAATATATCCAGTTAATTTAAAGTCCTATTGGAGAAAAATACACATTTCAGTAGGTCTATTTTTCTAAGCATTGACACTGAATGGATTCAAGACAGGCCTGCATTAGCCTTACTGGACTTATCTTGCCCTTGTTGGTTAGCCAGTCCATTTAGAGAGTTTGACAGGTTCACAGCCAATAGGCATGGAGTCAACTGGTTCTTTCATGGAAAGGTGCCAAATTTAATTTACTATGAGACAGCTCTGAAGGGTAGTATTAGGTGCTTGCCTGGCCATGGCATAAAAGCAACCAGCTATAGGAGCACATTGTGGTAAGGGTTTGGAAGGAAAGAGAAACAAACTGTCCTCTACACCAACATTTCTCAACCTATGGGTTGCGACCCAAAAAATGGGTCACAAGAATATATGAAAGGGTCATGAACAAACTTTAAAAATGGATCCATACACTTTAAAAATTGATTCTCCTTTAAAGGAAAAAAACATGGGAAACAGAGGCTTTCCCCTTGCAGGCTGTCAGAGTTCCAGCCTGCAAGGGGCTGCTTAGGGCCTCCCCTTCCCACACACACACACACACACACACACACACCCTCTCTGCCCCACACACTCGGGGGTAGGGGGTAGGGGGCACTGGGTTGGGATTGGCCATCTATGTTTACAGATGGACTCCAGTACAAAAAAGGTTGAGAATCACTGCTCTACACAAGAGGCATTAGCTTTTTACACAGTAAAACAGTAAAGGGCTACTCCTTTTTCAAGCCCAGCTTGGTCAAGTATTTCAGAGACAACAGCTCACCAGGTGTTATTTTCTCTCTTTACTCAGTCTTTTAAGAACTTAATGTTAAAACCAAGAGTCATTATGTACTGAATATGCCCACTTACTTGGGCTTCCACTCCTTAATGGGGAAGGGCTGCGACTTCGAGATAACTGCAAAAGAAACAGAAACAAAATAAATGATGTGATCAAGTTCAGCCAAAGGGACTACATTCTAGGCAAGCATGAAAGGATCTGTCAACATTCAGAAAATGTTTCCTGGTGTAATACATCAATGCCATTCCATTGGTTGCCAAGGGAAGCTGAACTTAATAAATACGTTACTTTGATTCTTCTCTTACGATAGCCACAAAGAGTGAGTTTGCCAAGACTCACTCTTGATATCTATATTTGGTAAAACTTGATATTTATTTCACATTTCTGGTATGGATAGACACACAGACAGACATGCAAAAACACAACAGCCACAATTTTATAAGTATAACAAATAATTACTTAACCATGCTGTGGGCAGATCTTTGCTGAGAATTCACAGAACATTATTTTGGCTCAGCTGTTCCATTCTGCACCTCCCCAATTTGTCACTTCCCTGGATTAGGGGACAAATTTAGATTCCTAGTTCTAAGAGGTGGGGGCAATGTGTTATATTTATGTACTGTGGGGGCTTTAAACATTTCTGAGTAGCGTAATTAGTTATTTAGAGAGCCTTGAACTTGGAAACAGTAGAGGCTTGCAAAACTGGTCAAAACGACATTACATGGAGAGAGAATTTCCCCTCTTGTAATCAAAGCAAGCATTAAGTTCAACAATACATACTTTAATTGGTCTACACTTGGTCAGATATAAGGAAAAAAAATGTTGAGGAAGTTCCATTAAAAATGTAATGTCTGACAAAAATAGTAACACTATCACCTATTTTTTGCACCCTAAAGAAATAGATGTGCATAAATAGCAGTTTGCAAGGATTATGTTTTATTTTCTTCATGCCATGCAAGCCAGCTGACAGGAGTGCTTGTTTCCAAACTTCAGCATATACATATGTTATGTGAAATGTCCCCTTCATTCTGAGCATAAAATGATTGATGTAATGTACAGTACCAATGTTCTGCTGGGGCTTCCTCGACGAGATAGCACAGGGCTCATGCTACGGCTGCGGCTTCTGCTCCTGGAAGACCACTACAACAAAACAGAGCATGACACAAACCTATATTAAAATAAGAACATTCACTGAAGCTAAATTTGGAAGCAGGTTCGCTTTGCTCAGCTAAAGACAAGGCTAAGAATGTGAATGAGCCAACATCTCCCTAATGAAGCCTCCAATCCTGCAAAACTTATTTGTGCTCTAAGCTTTATGAAGATGGGCAACACAGAGTGGGTCTTAATGATTACAAATCCCAGCCAGAATGGGCTGGGAATTTTAATAGGATGACTTCTTTTCACCAGTCCAAGAATACCTACCAAAGCACCTCTCTTTGTAACCGCTTCTCCCTTCACAATTATGGTATCATTTTCCAACAGAGCAGGCCATACATGGTAGGCCACCAATGGGGCTGTGAAATCAGAGTCATAGCTGCGGCGGTACCTGCTCAAAACACAGAAAAGTTATCAGGATAAATGCCTGAAAACCCACTGGTGACTAGAAATAGCGTATAGACTTGAAAGTACCAAAATTTTATATTCACTTATAAAAGTCTTTAAGCAATATCTCTATGCTACATGTAAAAAATAATTCTTCTGTAACAATATGTATAAAGTAATATGCTTATGAAAGAGTCATTTAGGCTAAGAGCATATTGTCTACCAATATTAAAAGAAGTGTCATTATAATTACATCACATCGGAGGCACATTAGGTTATCTTATGACATATTTGGAGCCCTTTTGTCATTGACTGACAAGGCAGAACAGTGTTCTGATAATCTGATGCTTTTTATATCATCCTAGAACTCTTGGTCAAACGATTATGCAAAAGATATTACAGTAAAAGGGTGCAGGGGACAGGCTGGTCCCAATGCAATCTCACAGGGAAAGGTAGCTTGTCCCTGTTCCATGGAAAGGAAAGGAGGTATGGCCCAGCCCTGCAGGGGGGAAGGGACATGGCCAGGCCCCAACCCAACCCCATAGGGGAAGGGGGCATGGCCCAGCTCCAACAGGAAGAGAGAGGCATGGCCCAGCAATGTGGGGGGAAGGAGACATGGCCAGGCCCCAACCCAGCCTTGTAGGGTGGGAAGGGGGCATGGTCCAGTCCCAATCTAGAAGCAGAGGAGTGGGGTTCATGGCCTGGCCCCACAGGGGAAGGAGTGGCAGACCAGACCAGCCCCATGCACAAGGTTGGGGCTTGGGCATATGGCATGGGGACAGTGACCATATTAATGGCCACTGCTCCCCCACCACCAGACTTGCTGCCTATGGGGAGCCCCACAGGCCAGATGCCATGGTTCATATCTGGCCTGCAGGCCAGAGCTTGAACATCCCTGAACTAAATAATTAATGTTATTCTTTAACCCTTAATGTAAATAGGCTACACAGGCAGAAAAAATGAACATGTTTGACTGAATACATCTTTTTAATCTCCAACTCCTAAGCAGAAGACTATAATAGAATATTTCCAAGTTCTCTTCTTACTTGGACTCATTAAAAAGTTCTCCATCTGCACCAAATGCAATATCCACAGGAGGAATCAATGTCTGCATTGAAAAAGCGACATGGCACAACTCCCGTATCAAACTGCTGATTATAATGAAGTCAACTTCTGGTGGGAATGAAATTTTAGGATTGATATTCATGGCACGAATCACTTCCTGAAAGCAAACATAACAATGTATTTAGTAATTCACTAGTAACATTGAACCCGAGTTGACCACATTTTGCAATTACAGACCAGCAGGTATAGGCCCTCCTAACCTGAAGTCCTGTTGTTTCCCCCCTATCCCCCCCCACCATTTACACACCCTCAGTTTAGCAAAAACTAAACAGAATACTAAAGATGCAGTCATTGGTTATTTCAATGACTAGGGTTAGGAAATACTAACCCTAAAAGATGTAATATTTTAGCTTCATTACACAGTGAAATACAATGATGAACCATTCCCTCTCACTTACATTGACAGTGGTTTGAACATCATAAAGATCCTCATGGCGAACTATGTAGTCCAAGACAATGTCTTCAAGTGACTCAGGACCTGAGTAACTTAAAGACACAGTCTTTCTCACACGCAGTTTGAACTGTCTGAAGGCCATCTTTGCTGCATGGAAAGACTCCTGTAAATATTAAAACATTCAGTTAAATTCATAATTGTGTAAGCAAAAAGATAAATTTGATTTTCAAATAATATTCTGAACTCATCTCTGGGGTAACCCTATTGATCAAGGGATACATTTTGGTTAATAATCTTTACAGGTCTCTGGGAATCAAATGCCACAAAGAGAGAGAGTTTAGAAATAGTATTTATTTGGGAGGGTTTCTTAGATGAACCACATTTTAAATTCCAGAGGACAGATCTGATTTCAATGCTTCCAACTTTCAGCTAAACCTTCTATTTTTCCACAAGATTCCATCACTTAAAATCAAGCACTGAAATCATTAGGGTTGTTGGTTGTAGCTGTGTTGGTCTAAGGACATAGGCAGACAAGGTTCTTTGGGTAGATGTGATATCTTTTATTAGGCCAACTAAATAGTTGGAAAAATTGTTCTTTGCAAGTTTTCTGGCACAAAGACCCTTCTTCAAGCATAGAGAGTTTGCTGGTGTAATGTGTGCTCTCATTACACATTGCACCAGCAAACTCTCCCTATGCCTGAAGAAGGGTGTTTGTGCCCAAAAGCTTGCAAAGAACAATTTTTCCAACTATTTAGTTGGCCTAATAAAAGATATCACATCTACCCAAAGAACCTTGTACTGAAATTATGTTGCATTCAAATATAGCACTGAACAGAGCTCAATGCTTGCAATTTTATGTGCTATACAGTAACGTGTTTACAGCAGAACATTGTCTGCTGCTGTATCTTAATGCTGTGATTTGATTGACAATTACAGTTTTACAAAAAAATTAAAATCTTTGCTGTCAAGATTCAATCCTGAGTAGTGCTGAGCATGCATAGGGTCCTCAATGATCTAAGCATGAGCTACGAGGACTCAGCAACTTTCAGGATCAGATCAGACTCACAAAAAGCTTTATATGGATAGCTCTGAACCTTCTGAAATACTAGGCTTTAAAAATGTTAGTTTAAATGAAGCAGTGTGATCTGCTCTATGGACATTTGTGACTCAGAGCCAGTAACTATGCTATTCTAAGGGAAATATAAAAGTTATTAAATCAAGGGTAATTAAAATGTGGGGTTAGGGGGGAACTGAAAGGAAAAATACATCAGGTGAAATATTTCCTTGTGTGAATTGTGGAAATATTGGTTCACATGTGATTACATTTTAATCCATCCAGATTTTCAAAAAAAAATCTATATCTCTTGCAAAACTATTCAAAGAAATACAGTTTATGTTTTATTTCATACCACCGCTGCAACATATATTATCCTCTGGACCATCTCTGGATCATCCACATATGTCCTTAAAAGGGTCTGTGCATCCAAGCGTTCTTGTGTATAAATCTCATTAAAGCGGGCGACTAGATGGGCATGACGTGAAGCATTTGTGAGCCGGGCTCGGCCAGGGGAGCAACTCCTCAAGGGAAGAGGACTAGGTGACCTGCTCCGGGTGCGTGTGGGGGAAGGAGAGCGACTCCGTGCAAGTCTGAGAGAGAGAAAGAGAGAGATGCTTTCAGAAACCATGGACTGGCCTGTTGTACCAATTTAGCTATTTATGGTGCAAATATTTATGCCAATTTTGGTATAGAAGTACAATGCTTGGCCTCAGTGCCATTAAAAACAACTTAAAAAGTACTTTTACCAATATAACTTATAATTTTACTTTTAAAAGCAGGTACACACAAACTAGTTATCTTGTGGCAAAAGGAGGGATGATAACTGCCTATACAGCTCAGCTACCATGGCTTAGCTTTCATCTACCAAAGACTAAGAGCATATAGTTTCATAGTTACGTAGTTGGTAGGGTCAGAAGGGACCTGAGCAGATCATCAAGTTCGACCCCCTGCCATGGCAGGAAAAAGTACTGGGGTC